AAATATATATATGTTTTTAAATAAATAAAAATTTGTTTTTCAAACAATAAAGCTGTATATTGTACTATTTAAAAACATTCATAACTATAGAGAAGTTTGCTTCAAAAAGTTGGAGTATTCTATTCTATATTAAATGTCTGCAACAATTAAAAGTTAATGTTGCAACATTACATACATTTTCCATACAATATTTAACGAAAATTTTATTGATAAACCGTGAAATATATACAAAAAACGAATTCCATTGCAAAAGAACTATATCTTAACTCTCTGATGTAGCTTGTTCTTGAAATATACTTTCGTTAGCAGCACTTTCCTGTAAAATTTTGCGATTTCTCCATGCTCTCATGTATGTTCTTGGATGAACAGGTAAGAATCCAGCAAGTCCTAATAAATCCGCAACAGGTTTAGTTACCTGTGCTCCTTTAGCGAACCAATATTGTATTCTTTCAAGATTGAGTGATACTAATTTCTCATTGTGTACATTTGGAATAGGATCATAAGTACCAACTTGTTCTATTGGTGGCTTTTTTTGTTGCCTTTTAACCTATGACATAAAAAAGATAAATTTATTGACACTATAACAATTATATATATATATATATATATATGTAATATCCTTTCTCGCACGATCGGTGATTGTATTATTATAGGCTTGTATTAATTCTAAACTCAGTTACTAAGATTGAAATTTTATCTCCTACGAATATAATATTTAATGCATATGACGCAATTTTTGCTTACTCATCCGAATCTATCTGAAAGCAATGCTTCTCGGAGAGATGATCGTATGCGGGATATCATGAGAAACGGCGTGTTGTATAATAATGCAACGTCGATTCATATACAATTATAAAAATTATAAATAAAATGTAGCTAAAAAAAGATGGGTTTATGTAATTCCAATTTTCTTGAAAAATAATCATAGGCCAACTTACGTCAATTATAATAATATGATAGAACGGTCTATTAGTGCAACCATAACGAACGAGCCGTATTGCTTTGGCGAATGGCGTAATAATACCTGTTCCAGATGCAGGATGCAAAGGCAATCGTGGCATATTTATTAATATTAAAAAGTATTTACTAAGTAATTGCCAAAAGTAATTACGTTTTCACGATTATCACGATTATGTTTATAGTACGCAAGAAGAATTGGGTTAAGAAAGCGTTTAAAACCATAGACATATAGAATAGATCGGTCCCTGCCGTGAGAGGTCGTGACACCCGGTATAACATTCTGCCCACATAGAAATGGCTATCCTGGGCTATCCTTGCATCACATTTTATATGAGACTTGACTGGTTTGAAAGAGAACGGTCTAATATAATATATATATAGAAGTTTGTAGGTTTTTTTCCTATACATATGTATTATGCATTTATGAAAATTTATCTGGATAGGGCCTTAGAATGCTCTAAAAAAGTTCTTTAATAGAATCAGCTGTTAACATTGGTCCCATGGTGTAATGGTTAGCACTCTGGACTTTGAATCCAGCGATCCGAGTTCAAATCTCGGTGGGACCTTCAAGTGTATTTTTTTTTTCATGTAAACATATAGATATTTTTCAATGATATACATATGCGTGCAACCGATAAACATCTTCAAAATTAATTTATAAATAATGATATAAAGTTAATAAACGATGAAACGAGAGTCGTGTGAATTTATATTGACTCACAATCAAATCAGCGCATAAAAGTCAATGTGTAATTTTTTGTGAACAGATGTTCATAAATTTTAAATAT